CCCCCTAGGTCAAGTACAAGGACAGCCCTGTGATCCGGGCGTACACATACTCCATCTCGGACTGGCCGTACATGGCCATGGCCTTCGTGGGCGCCATCCTGTCGGGTGTCATTTTCGCCCTGTATTCCTTCATCTCGACGGAGATGATCGATGCCATGATCTACAACACCGGGGACGATTTGAAGCGCGCGGCCCTCATCTGGGGCCTGGTGTTCCTGGGCCTGGGGACCTACTCCTTTGCCTCGAACTACCTGCTGAATGTCGGGCAGTTTGTGACGGCCGAGCGCCTGACCGACCGCATCCGCAAGCTGGCCTTCAAGACCATTGTCCGGCAGGATGTCGGCTGGTTCGACCAGCCGGAAAACTCCACCGGCAACTTGGCCACCCGGCTGTCCACCGATGCCAGCTACATCCAGGGTGGCACCTCCACTCGGATGGCCATGATCCTGCAGATTCTGTCGACCCTGGTGGCTGGTGTGATCATTGCCATCATTTCCTGCTGGCGCGTGGGCCTGGTGGCCATTGCCTGCCTGCCCTTCTCCCTGTCGGCCGGATACCTGTCCATCGTGGCCATGGTGGGCTTCAATGAGAAGAACAAGAAGGCCTTCGAGAAGAGTGGCTTCTATGCGGTGGAGTGCATTTCCAACATCCGCACCGTCATGTCCCTCAACCGGCAGGAGACCTTTGCCGGGAAGTTTGGCGAGTCCCTCAGCGAGCCGGAGAAGGCCTGCTTCCGGAGCACGCACGTACGTACACCGGTGCTTGCATTTGCCCCTTCTCCCTCCCTCGGTCCTGGTGTCTCGCTTGTCATCCGCCCATGCCTGGGCTCTTCCCCTTCTTCTTCCTCTTCTCCTTTCCCTCGGCCGGGGGGGGGGGGGGGGGCACATTTTTGTGCCAGACCCCCCCCCCCAGGGCCAGGTACAGGGGAGGACGAGGCGGAGGGGGGACAACCCCCGGGAGGAATGGCGCGGTGTCAAAAGGGCCACACCCGCCGCACGCACAGCGCCATCCACGTCAGCTGGGGGGCTTCTGGCTCCGACCATGGCGTGAAACGCCATGTCCGTGGGCAGCTGCACCCAGTCGATCCGCCCTCACGGGCAGCGCAGAGCCCACGGGGGGGGCAGGCCCGGGCCGGGGAAAAGGCACGGCCGAGCGGGGGAGCCCGGGCGATCGCACCCTTTCGTTGGCAC